ATGCATGCATGCATGCATGGATAGATGGATAGCTAAATAGACAGCTAAATACATAGATATAAAGATACACACACACACACACGCCACCCCAAAATCACTCTATCCTTGAAACCGAAAAACCGTAATCCTTCAGCCTCAAATCCCACGAATTGCCTACAAGCCTCGTGCATCCACAGAGGCCCGGAAGTAAACCGTGCCGCCCTCCGGTAGCCGGCGGAGCAAGTCGGATGCTCGGACATGGGCCTTTGCACGGGGGAGGTTGTTGAAATGTGTATAAGGCTGCTTAATTTTGATCTTCCCTTATAGTCTCTATATTATATAGTCCTGGTATATAATATGCCCCAGTACCTTAGTCGAATTATTGAAGCCCCTAAAATGTCCATCTAGGACCGTTTTAGGATTTAGGGTTGAGCGTCCAGGGCATCAACGATGTTTGGTGATAGCAGTGGTATAGACAACAACAGCTGTGGCTCTAAAGAGGACAGCGGTCATAGCATGATTTTGCTATGGAAAAGGCCAATAGTGGCCAATAAAGATGACAAAAACACCAACAACAGTCCTAAACCCTAAACCCTAAACCCTAAACCTCTGGTCGTTATGATGGCGGCCGCAGGCTTTCGACCACCGCGGCGGAGTCCTTTGGAAAGCTTTCTGGGCCCTCTGAGGGCCTTCCGAGCTGTGCTCCGGGCCATGTCAGGTCCCTCTCCTTTATGATGGCCACCTGCTTAAAGGTTTCGGGTTTAGGGTTTAGGGTTTAGGGGTTTAGGGTTTGGGTTGAGGGTTTGGGACTTAGTAAGTAGGGCTATCATTAAGGTAACTACGATAACATTTACTTTTAACCCCAATTAAGGGACTTGTAACCTCACTTACTAAGTCCCATGATCCTCCAAGTAAGGGTTAGGGCTTGGGATTCACTTAGGGTTCAGTGCTCAGGGCCTTTTCAGCTGCCAGGTTTTGAGACCCAGGCTTGGGCCCAAGTCAGGTTCCATGCAGGGCATGCGGCTTTGTCGCAGCAGTTTCTTCTTGGGTAGGGCCACGGTGGGGAGCCCGGATGGGACAGTGACGATAGGGGTTACATGTAAGGGTTTGCGGTTTAGGGTTCAGGATTGGGGATTCTTGGGGGTTACGGCGTGTAGAAGCAAGCCCCGGCCCTTGCCGGGTCGCCAGCTTCACCCGAATCATTCTTGTTCTACTGCTTCGGATCTTTCCGCCCCAAACTGGGACCCAAACGCCCCTAAACCCAGAAACCCCACGTCCCCAGACAGAAACCACCGCAGATACGCGCTCGCCCCTAGACAAATAGCAACCTTCGTCTCCCCTAAACCCCAAACCCTAAACCCTAAACCCTAAACCCGAACCCTCGACCCTACTTGGAGGATCATGGGACTTAGTAAGTAAGGTTATAAGTCCCCTAATTGGGGTTCTAAGTATAGCTACCCTAGTTATAACCCTACT